AGGCTTCTGTGGGTGTGACAAAGCCGAAGTGTGTCTCATGACAGTGTGTGAGATTGTGAGGCTGTGACTGGTGCGGGTTTATGCTTGTTTGGTTAATTGGGAGGATGGTCCTTAGGGTGAGCACAGGTGTTTGTGACAGAGTAATCTGTGTTTCTAATGTCTCTTCTGCTTTCTGTGTCTCCAGTTTCTAACCAAGTTAGAACAGTGCCTGAGAACAGTGGTCCCAAAAGGATGTCAGAGCCTGGATCCTGTCATGAAAATGACCAACAAGGAGAGCAAAGACATAGTCATGAGATGACTGTTTTAGAATCAGAAGTGCTCTCCATGCTGGCTACCTGAATGACAGGAAGCAGTGGCCTCAGGAGTAGAATTCCTTTTGTAGGGGGAGGTAGGAAGAAGGGTAGCTGCATGTTTCAGAACCCCATTTACTAGAGCCTAGTCCTAGGAAATCTCTCAGAAACTCAGATCACAGTGCTCTCTGATTTGTGTTGTTTATGTGATCCTGGGGCAGATGTTCCTTGGAGGGTATTTTTTAATGTAGCTTGCACTCCTGAAAGACCCTAGTGTCTCATTCTTATTTCCCCTAGGCCAGCTGTCCTTCAGAAAAAGCATCCTGAGGAGGAAGAAGAATTGTTACACATCTTAAAATCCAGATTCAGGTGAGTTTCCTTTTTTTCATTAAATAATTTCTGTTTATAGGACTTAGGACTAAATTTAAGATGTAGATTACCAAGATTTCAGTCCTTTTCCTTCCTCTTCCTTGCTTTTTGAGTTTTCTGAAGATAGGGTTGTGATGAGGATGAAATGCATTAACATACACAAAATCCATATAACAGCCTCCCGGAGTATAATTGCTCTGTAATTACTAACTGTTGTTATGCAGTAAGCCTGGATATTTATACCAGGAGCAACATACATAGGAAGGTGGGTACTTGCAACTTTACAAACAAACCAGAGCCTCAAATGATCTAGAACAAGAATCCTTACCCTGAGGTCTTTCCTGGGGAAATTGTATACATATTTATTATAAATGTTTTGTCAATGTGGTTTACTCTGTAATTTTATGGTATTAAGGAAAGTGTGTGTGCCACAGAGTTTTAGACCCATCAGTCTAAAATCAAAGACTGAGGCTGGCGAGATGGCTCAGTTGATTAGAGTGTGGTGTTATAATTACCAAGATCAAGGGTTCAGATCCCCATACAGGCCAGCCGCCAAAAAAAAAAAAAATCTGCCCCCCCGCATCTAATTTCAAGGACCCTTATGATTACATTTGGCCCACTGATATAATTCAGGATAATCTTCCCTATCTTTAAGTCATTGATTAGAAATTTTAAGTCCATCTGCAACCTTAATTTCCCTTTACTGTGTAGGGTAACATATTTACAGGTGCAAGAATTACAATATGGACATCTTTGAGAGACAATTATTTTACCTTCCACAGGCCTATCCATTCAGAGTTTCCATAATGACTACAATGTACCTGCTCCCCCATGACTGGGGTCCTTTTCCTTTTCTAGTTTTTTTTTCCTACTTTTGGACTATGTTGTTATATTTCTTACTTTTTTTTTTTTGATGGCTGGCTGGTAAGGGGATCATAACCCTTGACCCTGGTGTTATAGCACCATGCTCTAACTAGCTGAGC